TGGTTGGCTGTTGGCTGTATACAAAGCCTGATTTGCTTGGTCCCTGCTCCCTGTTTGCCCGCCCTGTCACTATAGCAGTCTGGTCCACCCTTGCATCAGCATCTCCCTGGGACCTCACTAGTGCGCAAGTGCGAGCTCTTCAACATTCTAACAGGCACCATGATAGCGCAAAATCGCGAATCGCGATACCATACTGGGTGTATGGTCGGCTGTGTGCGATTTTGCGAGTGTGGTAAAATCGCATAACAGCCGAGCATACACCCAGCAGCGCTGCTGATGCCTGAACGGTATGTGGAATGACGTGGCCGGGCATCGGGAGGCCACTATGGCACGGGGCAAGCACTATGGGCAGTCTATCTGAAGTGTACCTGGCGTATAAGACGACCCCCCACTTGGAGGCATATTTTTCAGGGCCAAAAAATCGTCTTATACGCCGGCAAATACGGTATATTTGAAAAAAATACGTTGCAGTTCTAAAAAAATATTTTATTTATTTTTAAATGTAATTTATATAATTAAAATTTTATAGAGAAGTTAGAATTATAATAAAAATATATTTTTATGCATCATAAATACAACACAATCATAAAAGTCAGAAAGTTAACACTGATGCATTTCTAGTACCTAATCCTCAGAATTTATTCAAATTTTTCCAGTTGTCCCAATAATGTCATTTATAGCAAAAGAATCCAGTTCAGAATCACATTACATTTTGTTGCCACGTATCTTTCTTTTCTTTCATTCTAAAGTGGTCTTCCATCTTCCTTTGACTTTCATGACCTTGACACTTTTGAAGGATATTTTGTGGCATGTAACTCAATTTGAGTTTGTCTTATGTTTCCTCATGATTAGATTCATGTTATGCAGATTCATCTGGGTTATAACAAAAAGTGATGCTGTATTTTTGTCATTTTGTTTTATTAAGTGGAACAAATTTTTTATTTATCCCACTGTGACAATGTTCACATTGACTTATGGATTAAAGTACATCTGCCAGTTTTCCCACTGTACATTACTTTCCCTTTACAATTTATCAGTATTTTGCAATTATGTATATATTCCTCATCAAAATTTCAATTTATTCATTACTTAGACATATAAGTATAGATTCATGAATCCCTGTTTTATTCCATTACTGTCTTTATTACAATACTCAAATTTTCCAATATTTGATTAGTGAGGGCCCCCTTTAAACTGGCTTTTGTGCCTTTGATATGTCCTCAAGATTCTTTTAACAATTCCTTATCATTTAGTACAAAATGATATTCCATCTCAAATTGTCCTCAGCCCTGAAATCATCCACTTCTCCAAGAAACCCTGGTTCTTTTAGCAGAATATGGCATTTAGAAGCCAAGATCTGGACACTAAGGTGCTCATTGTTATTAACATGTTGCTGCTCCCAGGCTTTATCAGTTGAATACCTAGCTCTATATCTATATTATCTATATCAATATAGCTATATTTCTATATCTATAAATCTATATCTATATATCTACATCTGTATTCCTATCCATATTTCTATATATTATTAACTATAATTACATATCTATGTAGAGAAAGAGCAAGGTAAGTCTGTAAACACATTTACATCTATATGTATAATCCATCCATGTATTGAGAACTGTGAGATCTGTTCACATCAATACCTCCAATTCTAATCCAAAAACAAAGGGTTTGTCCTAGTGTTTTGTTTTGTTTTTCCTTTTGAATATCTGCAACTCTCTTCCACAGAGAGAAAACCTGGATTCTCTTATCCTATATAATAAAGAGCTAATATGCTAATTAGAATGACCATCTGGATGACCTTCCAGATGAAGCCACAGGGCTGCGAGGGCCAAGACCCTTGCACAAATTTTGTGCATCAGGCCTCTAGTCTCATATATTTCCTTATTGGCTTCATAACCCTGTGGTATCCAAGCTCCCATCTCTGCCTCTCCCTCACCCCATATGGATGCCCCCCTCACTCTCTTCAGTCTCTAATATTTCATGCTGGGCCACCCCACCCCTGCTCTAGATCTTCTCTTCTCACCATTTGGGCTTTGACTGCTCTTGTTTGCAGCTTCCCTGCATAGAGGTCCTTCTTACCCTGTTTGGCTCTGACCCTTCATGTCATAAGCTGCCTCTCTGCACTGTGTCACCCACTGACTCTTCTTGGGCTCTGACAGCCAGTGCCAAGCTGCTCCCACAGTGTGGACTCCCTCTTTGCCCCACTCAAGCCTTTCCACCTCATTCCAGGCCACAGGCCAGCACTGCTGTAGAAGCCCCTTGCCCTGCCTCACCTTTAGGACTGACTCTTTTGAAAGAAAGGGAAAAGGAAGAGTCCAATGAACTCCTATGCGTTGTAATGAATATCTTTGCTGAATTTTGTTGAATTAGAGAGATCAAGCTGGAAGCAATATATGTGTGGTTTCAAATGCTGCTGACTGCTACACAATTCTTTGTGGAGGCGCCAGCTATATTTAGTTATAAGCACCCTTAAGACTTTGCTTTGGATATATTTATTCGCTAAATCTTGGATGAAATAAAGATAGCATTTATTGGGGTAAACGGGAAAAGTAATCAAGTAGAGCTCCCTTTTAAATCTCATCTTATTTTGCTTTTTCATTTGTTCCTCAGAATGGATTTACTGTACAGACAGATTGGCCTCAGGGTTTGAATTATAGAGGACCTCCAGTCTTCAAGACTAAGGCATTTGTTCTTTCACTTAAAGTCATTGAATGTGTTTGAGCAGAAAAGAAGCATGAGATTGTGAGGAAAACTTTAATTTCTAATTACCAAATTGAAAAAAAAATGAGTACATTGTATATCTTGTTAACTTTTCTTAGGATGAACAGTGTAAAGAGAAACTATTTATAGTTGGGGTGCTAATAGAGAAGATGGCTTATTAGTTAATAAAGTATTTACACCATTTAGATAAATCTGGCTCAGTTTTATTCCCTGACTTACTGCTGTCACAATAAATTCATAATTACTTCTTTTTATACAATTATTAAGTACAATTAAGTACAATAGAATAAAATGTAGCCCTGCCCAAAGTAACTGGCTTTATTCAAGCCAGAAAACAATTTACATTATTCAAAATTCCTTTTCATATTTAGAGGAAGGACTATTAACCAAATACTTGAGCATTTGACTTTGGATAAACACTTCCAGCACTATTTAATTACCACAGAGGCTAAGGTGGGATGTGAATTTTTAGCAGATGGTCTGAATCAGGCAGTGCTTGTGCTTCTTGGTAGGATCAGGCAGTGCTTGGCATCACCCAACAACAGGCATCAGAGCTTGCTGGGGCCCCAAGTGTCAGCCTCCAACTGCCCTTGGTGGAATGAGAACACAGTAGGGTAGGAAGACCAAGGACAGAGGGCATGGTCAACCAGGCCGCGGTCACTGAAAAGGAAGGAAGACAGAGGAGCCTGAGGGAGAGAGGGAAGAGCTGGAAGTGGAGGAGAGAAGGAGGAGGAAGAGAAAAGCACTTGAGAAGACACGTGACGTGGTTATCAAAAGATGAGATGGATGATCAGCGGGGGGAAAAAGGAAGTATAGAAAGAATGCTTAAGGAAACATAAGATATCTCATACACAACGATGTGAATACATGGGGATATTTTATTGGTTTAATTTTAAATTTCTAAATTTCAAGGAAAAATTTTCTGAGCTGTGATCCATGGTCAAAACTGAGTAGAATGTGCATTGGTTTGTCCTCATGGTTATCTCATAGCCTCCACTCACACTCAGGGAGCATCTTCTTATGAAGCAAATGTGCAAGTGAATTTTTGTATAACATTTTAATTTGTGGCTGCATTAACTTATATAAGAAATAGGGAATAAAATCTTAAATCACACTGTCTTGAGTTTATTTAACATTAGAGGCCCGATGCACAAAATTCGTGCAAGGGGCGTGGCCCCCTACACCATGGCAGCTGCCTCTGCCTTGGCCCCTGCCACCACGGCTTTGTCTGGAAGGTCGTCCGGAAGGACATCTGATCTAATTAGCATATTACACTTTTATTATTCTAGATATTTAAAGACCTTTCATTGACATATTCCTTAGTTTTTACAATATTGCTCTGAGGTAGAGAGGAGATCTGTAGTTTAATCCCCATTCTACAAAATCAAAGTTAAAGCACAGTATTAAATCAGATATACACAAACTCTAGAGTAGGGTGATTTGCCTTAGCTGTCCTGGTGTTATCAGGGATAATAAAACTAATCTAATTCTATACATTGTGACTGATGAAAATGTTTAAAGTTGTCCAAACTATAAGTAGGTTCAATTTGGCCAAATGAAACCACATTTCAAACTAATCCCCTGAGTGCAAAGCTGTGAAGAGTATATTCTGGTTAGCCTGTTAGTTTCATTTCTCTTTATTTGACCATCTCCGTTTGTGCTGAAGATTAGCCTATAATTGCTATTGTCTGTTGACATATTATTTTTGCTCATAAACTTTGGCTAAAAGAATGTCCATTCCCACAGGAAAATACAGTCAAGAGCTTCAAGGCAGAGCCTTCCTCTCCAATCTGGCCTCCACACAGCAAGCCTAAAGGTACTTTAGGATCCTGTGGTCCTGGGTCTTTCTGTGACATCATACATTCAGTAGCCAGTAAGTAAAGTGTGGCACAATGCCTAGGTACTCTGGGGAGAGAGAAAGAGGCACAAGACACATTTCCTGCTTTTAGAGCAGTTCACATGGCTCATAAAATTGCCCGTTCCTTCTTTTTAAAACTTGCTTTTCTTCAGCTTTTCTGATTTTTAGGGTATATTATTCTTCTGGTTCTCCTTCTTTACACTGTTGTGTTACTTGCTCATTATTCTTTTAAATACCCTATCTAATGAAAGAGTAATATGTAAATTAAGCATCACTCCATGACAAAGATGGTAGCGTCCTTAGTGGCTGGGGCGGGATGCTGGCGGTGTCGCCCTGGCAACATGAGTCCAGCATCTGTGCCCCGGCCATGGGGAGGGAAGGAAGGGGAGGGTCCTCGGGCTGGGGTGAGGGACGCTGGTGTCGTTGCAGGCTGGGCTGAGGGACTCCCCTCCCCTGTGCATGAATTTCATGCACTGGGCCTCTAGTTGAACTAAATAAACCCTAGAGTATTGCAAATCTGTATTTCCTTCAGAAAAGAATGTGCTCATTTAGCCAATGATTTAATATTCTACTGGCCTTCACAACAGAATAAGCAAGACTTTCTAAGGTATATTTGTTTTTTACAAGGCATTTAAAGTAAATTTTGTGGTTTTATAGCCCAACTTGAAGTGAAATCCCCCCCAAAAACACAGCAGTGCTGGAAAACTCCTCAGCAATCAGTGAGCTCAGAGCCAGCATGACAACAAGGGAGGAACAGGACACTGAGTAGTAAATGTGACTGAAATACGAATAACAAAACATGTGGTTTTCTAGACTCACAAAGTATTGGAAGACAAAACAGTCAGCAAACTACAGTATAATATACAAGGGGAAATGCCAAAAGTGGCCACTAAATTATGTGTTTTTCCGTAGCCATGCAGCTATCCCGGCACTTTGGTTTTTGTTTGTCAGATTTTCGTTCTTTATTGCCTGTAATTTGGCATGAACTTCGAGCCTCTGGTGCTCCTCCAACATGGGGTTGAAAAACTGCTGCAGCTGAAAGGACAAAGAGACGGTCAGGGCAATCTGACTCCTCATTTAGACAAAACAGGATGGTTCACTCTAAGTCACAACATGATTTTGCAAATGGCCAATGACAGTTGGAATGGGTGGCAATGTGTGAAGACCACCTACCCTGAAGAGTCAGATGTAGATTGGAAGCTCCATGATGTAGGAACTTCATCTATTTTATTCACTGCTCTATTCCCCAACCACCTAGTAGGTGTTCAATAAAGATTTACTGAATGCATACTAGATATTAGACAAAATTTGTGGACAGAGATAGAGTGAGACCTTTTCTTATCTCAAAAAATACTTTGCAACTTTCAAAGCTCAAAACTGGCACACAACATCTGTGTCTTTACAGATGTTATCCTTTATTTAAGAACTAGAGGCCCAATGCACAAAAATTCATGCAAGAGTAGTCCTTCCTTTCCCTGGCTGCCGGCACCGGCTTCCCTCCAGCACTTGGGGCCCAGGCTGGCTTTCCTCGGGCTGCACACAGGCACCCAAGACCCAGGATGGCTTCCCTCCAGCTCTGGCTTGGTAAGGAAGGATGTCCAGAATGACATCAGGAAGATGTCCGGTCTAATTAGCTTGTTACCCTTTTATTATTATAGATATTTAGATAGTGGATTTGTCCATTGGCTAAATTCCTTCATTGAGTCAAGTCAAGCATTAAGCTATAGGAACATATGCAATATTATGTACAAGCCAGATGCCAATTGACTAATTAGTTATATTCCTAGTCTATTTCTCCTTCAAAGAATTAGAACTTAGCACATGTGAGATGGTACCCATGCTCACAAAATGTCATTTAAACCCTAATGCACTTAAAATTGAGTAATATTAGGGTAATCAAGGCTAATTACAATGTAAAAGAAAAGGAACATTCTGAAAAAAGTAGATTAAGGAACCAGAACCTCCCACCCTCTTCCACACCTGTCCATACCTACCAGGCAGTGGAATCCACCTTCCCACAACCCCATATGATCATGCACCTGCAGTGAGTGGGAGGGGAGTAGGGTCCGTGACATTGTAGGGGGGCTTCATGTGTGCTTGAGAGCATGAGTGCGGCCAGGCTCCAACAGGGTAGTGTATAAAGAACAGAGCAAGAGAAGCAAAGAGTATATAGAAACTGTGCTGGTCTAGAAGGAGAAGGGACTCATGTGACTTTCTTTTCATCCTCTTTTTAGCAATTATTTTTTATATTATCATGTGAATTAATACATTATAGGAGGACTATTGGGCATTAATAGGTTTTTGACAAGGATATTCATAACAGCTAACTTGTTTTCAAAATTGCAAAAATGTAATCACTGCTAAATCCACTTTTACATTATCTCTCTATATAAAAGCCTAATATGCAAATTGTCCCCTCAGGAGTTGAACTGGGAGTTCAATTGCTTGCTATGACGTGTGCTGACCACCAGGGGGTGACGTGGAACAAAGGAAGGCCCTCACCAGCAGCCGGCAGCTAGGGAAGGGAGGTCCTGGCTGGCAGCCGAAGGCCCCGATCGGCCCTGATCACTGGCCAGGCCTAGGGGACCTACCCATGCACGAATTTTGTGCACCAGGCCTCTAGTTTTCAATAAACTATCAGTGACTACAGAGCTTTGGAACTTTGAAGACTGCTAAATTTATACAACCTTCATTCATTAAACAACAACAACTAGTCTTGGCCAGTATGGCTCAGTTGGTTGGATTATCATCTTAGACACCAAAAGGTGACAGACAGGTTCCATTCGCAGTTGGGGCACATGCAGGGGTCAACCAATCTCTCTCTCTCTCTTTCTCTCTCTTTCTCCCCCTCACCCCTTTCTCTCTAAAAATCAATAAAAATTAAAAATGAAAAACAATAAAATTTTACTGGGTTCTGTAGAGATAAACTACCAAGATAAACTGATACACTTTAGAAGACTCAACAGGATTCTAAGCCTTCTTTCCAGCATTTCTGGGTGTGCCCTTCACTCTCTGATCCAGGGAATCCCTGATAAATCAGGTCCTGACAGTTCATCTTCAGGCAAGCCAAACTGAAACAAAGCTAATTCCTTCAGGAATTAGCAGTTCTTCCTCTCTCTCTTTATAACAACTACATAACAGACTGCTTCTTTTTTTTTCTTGCTCAGGATCAAAATTCAGGCCTTATGTCCTAAACATTTATTTTTTTACTTGCTGGGGCAGGCTGTTGATTTTCCTTTCTTATTTACACAGGCCCTTCCTATTTTTATTAATATAGTTCCAGGCCATAGTTAATTTTTACTCATGTATTTTTTTTTTTACTTGTAATCAACTTTATTGAGATAAAATTTATATACATAAGCTTTAAAGTATACAAGTCGAGTTTGGATCTCTGTATACACCTGTGAAACCATAGCCACAATCAAGTTACAGTCCATTTCCATGGCCCACCAAAGTTTCTTCCTGCCCTTTTCAGGTCATCCCTCCTTCCCTCTGTCCCAGGCAACCACTGATTTACCTTCTGTTACTACGGATCAGTTTGGATTTCCTAGAAAGTCTCTGGTTTCTTTTGCTCAGGACAATCATCTTGAAATTCATCCATGTTGCTACACAAAATTGTTCCTTTTTTAAATTGTGGGGTAGAATTCCGTTGTGTGGATATATTGCATTTTCCTTCTCCATTCACCTACTGATGGACATTTGGGTGGTTTCCAGTTTTTAGCTAATGTGAATAAAGCTGCTAGGGACATTCATGTACAAGTATTTGTGTGGACATAGGTTTCCATTTCTTTTGAGTAAAAACCTTCAAGTGGAATTGTTGGGTCACATGTGTCTAATTAACATTTAGAGATACTGTCTGTTTTCCAAAGTAGTTTCCATGTCACAGTCCCACCAGTAGGGTAAGAGTTCCAGTTGCTTTACATCTTTGCCAACCTTTGGTATTGCCAATCTTTCTAATTTTACCTATGCTGCTGGGTGTGTAGAGGTTGTATTTATATTTTATTCTTGTTTTACTTTGTGTGTTGCTTTTTTGTAGACATTTGCTTTTGCCACTTAGTTTACCTTGTGGTTATAGGATTTCCCTTTTCTTTTCAGAACTACTCCTTCCCTATCTCAGTTTCTTTGGTTTGGGTGGGGCTGGTTCCAAATGTGGGCAAATGACCCAGGTTAGGCCAATCAGAGTATTTCCTTCCCCTTGGACATGGTGATTGGTGCATGTGAGCCAAGTAGGACCAATCAGAGTTCTGCCTTCAGGACTGGAACTTGAAGCTGGGTGAAAAGGTATTCCTTTTTCTACAACTGAGGATGCTAAGGATCATGTAAGGCTGGACCTATGTTTGCATCCATGTGAAGAAAGCCTGCCTAAGAAGAAATTCAGCCCAGAGGGAAGCAGATGCTAGAAACAGCAAGCCCCACATTAGATTCTAGAATACAGTTATAATTAAAATATGGTCTGTGTCCTCAGGGAGCTTGTTTTACCCCCATAGAGTAGATGTATGCACACACTGATTACAGTATAATGTGGTAAGTGCTGTAATAAAGATATTGATGGGATGATTTGGGAGTATGGAGGAAGGACAGATATAAATCGGTTCATAAAAAATTCCTGGAATAGGTGGTTGGAGCAGGGTCTTAAAGGATGATTAGGAATTATCTAGTCAAGGACAGGGTTCTGAAATCTAGAAAATGTAAAACAACCTAATAATTTCAGAAAATCTGTAAGTGGTGGAGTATAGCTAGAGGAAAAGTATTTGGAGGTGGTCTGTCTCTTGGTTTCAGATACTCAGTGGTGAGCTGGGCAAAAATGAAGCTAGAGGGTAAGGCAGAATCCAGATTATTAAGGGCTTCGTGTGTTAATGAAAAGATTTGAAAATTTCCTAAAAACTGCTAAGCTACTGAAGCTTTGGGAGCAGGGCAATGGCTGGTAGCAATGTGCAGAATGGATGGAGGCAAGCCCAGCCTGGGCCAGGGAGCTTGGGCCAGAGTTTACTAAAGTAATTCAGGTGAGAAAGAATGATGTCCAACTCTCAAGAGCAAGATAGAATTAAAAAACATTTCATGTACAGTCATGCACCAATGGAAGCATAGAATGTTATAATTCAGATAAGCATTTTAAGTTTAGCAACTCTAAATGACACAAAAAAGTGGCTTCCAACTTATTATAATTCATAATATCTAAAGTACTTACCTCCATGACCTGTAAATCTGTACTTATGGTTCTCCCTATTAAATACATTATAGTAACCAATGAGTGTATTCCATACCTGCAAAGCAACAAGATGCTAATCAGGGTTGGGAAATGTTTTGCAAGACAAAGCTATATTTTATTTGCCAGATAAATGCTAAGTATATAGCCCCTTTTAATTTCTATCTCCAACATCTAAAAGAAAACATGTATGAATTAGTTTACCCTCATCTTTTAATAGAAAATCTATTATATAAAAAATTCTAGCCCTGGCCAGGTAGCTTAGTTGGTTAGAGCATCATCCCAATATGCCAGGATTGCAGGTTCATTCTCTGGTCAGGGCACATATAAGAAGCAACCAATGAATGCATAAATAAATGGAACAACAAATTGATGTCTCCCTTCCTACCTCTTTAAAATCAATAAAAAATTCTATTAGCACTAAAAATATTTATATTTAAATACATAGTTTTTAGTTCACTTAAATGTAAAAAAAACTCTTCTTAAAAACAATAACAATGTCAACTGTTTTTATCTTTTTAAATGAGGTGGTTAGAATAGCTGTCACATACCTCAAATTAAGAAAATTTGTAAGGGAGTAAATATGCGGACTATGTCCCTTAAAAACAGTGGTTTTTAGCTGTCACATACCTCAAATTAAGAAAATTTGTAAGGGAGTAAATATGCGGACTATGTCCCTTAAAAACAGTGGTTTTTTTGTATTTTTTTAAAAACTCTGACTAAAATATACTGAAAGCTCATTAAAAATGTTGTATTTGTATGTGCTTTTTGGAAAGAGGATCCATATCATCTGAGATTCTCAAGGCTAAGTACGTGGCTCTACTCTATTTACATTCCCTCAAACAAGCGTGGTCACTGCAACTTCCTCCTCAGTTTAGTGCCCAATGAGAATCATCTAAAAAAAAAGAAGGCCCTAGCCGACTTGGCTCAGTGGATAGAGCGTCAGCCTGTGGACTGAGGGGTCCCAGGTTCGATTCCGGCCAAGGGCACATGCCTGGGTTGCAAGCTCAATCCCCAGTGTGGGGCATGCAGGAGGCAGCTGATCACTGGTTCTCTATCATCATTGATGTTTCCATCTCTCTCTCCTTCTCCCTTCCTCTCTGAAATCAATAAAGAAATATAAAAAAATATTTTTAAAAAGCCATGAAGTGTTGCTATAGAGAAAGAACAGATACATACCTGCCCAAAGTGGTGCTGTAGTTATAAAAGTAAATAAAGACTTTTGGATGCATTAAAAAAGAAAGAAAATTAAGATAGGGTTAATATAGACTGAATAAGAAATGGTTGAACTGGCTTGATAATTATACACACAATTTATTTCAAAAATGTATACTTGAAATTAAAAATTATAAGAGTTAATGTTGGCATACTACACAAACAAGGGTAAGAGAAAACAGTGCTTTTGTTCTTTTTAGATCTCCAGCTATAGTGTAAACTGTGTTTACTTGAGCAAAGTAGAGGACAAGAGACCGTCTACATGTAATTCAGACAAGCAAACTTGTTTCTGTGGGGAAAGTGGAAATAGTTCTTATTTTTCATTTTTATTGGCCAGGTATGAAAAGCCTGTGAGATGACTCAAGAAATTTGGCAAAATTTGCAAAGAACCAAGTCCCAAACTTAAAAAAAAAAAAAGTGGAAAACTACATAAGGTGCTAACTATGGGATTTTCTACCAGATCCAGAAGAAAGGTTACCCCAACAGGTGAGGCCCAATTTGAAGTTACCTTGGGCAACTCATAAATTGTAGAAATGAGGAATAACATAGTTAGAAGCATTGTTCTGGAGAGTAAATGAGATCATGTATGTTGTGGCATCTATCAGAGCACCTGGCACACATTCCTTCCTGATCTTGCAAGCTTCAAGGGGAGATATTTTTGAGACAGAGAGGATTTGTCACTCTTGTTGCGAGAGCAATCTCTTTGAAATATTAAACAAAAATACATACTTTATGAGTAGTTTATCTCCCCTGTAGTCAAATGCTTTCTAATTAATATCAAGACAGGAGCCAGTGGGTGTCAGCATAGTTACCCTTTAAAAAATACTGATAACATTCAATGCTAGTGTGGACACGGTGATATGGGTATTCTAGTTTGGCTTACATTCTGCCTCTTTCCTTTCTCCTTCTCTCTTCTCCCTTTCCCTGCCATGTCTGACTTCCTGTGGCAAGCATGGCCACTAAGCAAGCATGGGGCACCAAGGCATCCAGCACAATCCAGTGGCAGGTGGCAGGAATGGGTCCACTCCAACCACATCTCAACTCACGCAGTTCCCTTGTGCTCCCACTTAACCTTTTCCATTCCATCATAAAATTCAACAGAATGGAAGTGAAAATAAGTGCAGGTTTCAAGCTCAGGACTCTAGGCAATATAACAATGTTTGGAGTAGAAATCTAGTGTTGGATAAGGAAAACTGAAGATTCATTATGGGCCAGTTGAGTTTGAAACTGATTATACCTTATAGTCTATATTTAAACAAAACTAGCATTTTCCTATTGGCTGTGAAATCCACATTGTTTTAAGAAAGCTAAAAGCAACTTAACAAGGGTGATTAGGGCACCAATATAACTTCTACAACATACAATAAAAGATCACAAAAATCCTGGTGTTCCATCCCTATCCACACATTCTTCCATAGAATCTACCCACATCTACATGTACATATTGATTTTCCTGTAACCTGAAAGATGTCTTTATGGTCAGTGGAGGTTCCTTCATTTAGATCAGTGCTCAAAGGATCATCTTGGTCCAACAGTTAAATAATTACCCCTCAGAGACCAGTGCAGTGTCTGCACAAGGGAGGGAGGAGCAGGAGCAAGCTGGGATGTTTTACTCAAGCAAATATTCCAAAATGTATTTTCAGATTGGGCCTCTTGAGAAGAGTCCTGGGCGTGGTCGAGGGGAGCAGATGTTTCTGAACTGCTATTGGCAGTGTGCTCAATTCAACCCCGTGACCTCCCCTGTCTCCCCTTTCCAGAGGCCCAAGTTCCAGCCAGAGATGTGACTCATTCCAAGTCAGTCTTTTAGTCCTTCCATGTGGAAGGTGACTTTTTCCAAATCTGCCTATTCAAACCTCACTCAATTCCTTTCCTTCCCTTTGAGTCCCCAAAGCCCTCTCTCTCTCCATCTCCACATTCTAATCACTTTATATCCCCAACAACAGCTGAAACTAACTGTGTCTTATCAGAGTAAAACCAAAATACTTTATTACTAGAAAGAACTTTAGAATTAATAAATACATGTCTTTCATTTTAGAGAAGAGGAAACTAAGGCCTAAATGTTCATAGACAAACAATAAATAGATGTTCCACTTCCCGTTCCAAATGAGAGGGTTAGAGAACTTATTTTCTTTTTCTTTCCTTTGTATTGAATTTATTGGGGTGACATTGGTAACAAAATTATACAGGTTTCAGGTGCACAATTTCATAACACACCACCTGTACACTGTATTGTGTGTTCACCACCCAAAGTCAAATGGATAAGTTACTTTCTCATCTGTGTTTATCCTGATAGGACTGATCTACTAGCAAAAGGATACTTTGTTTACAGGAACATTTATAGTGCATAGTAGGATTACAGATGAAAAGGCAGGCATTTCAGACCTAAAGTGAACATGGGGTGAAGTTTTTATTACAAGCTCCAGGGGAAGAGAAAAGATACAACCCTAGGGGGTGGGTGCATCTCTGAAACCTCATGGAACAAGGGGACCTGTGGACATAATTCTGATTTATAGCCGAATTCCCAGTGAGAAGGAGGACCTAGGAAGGAGGGCATTATCTTTAACAACTTAAGCAAAAATGAAAACATCATTTATCCCAAAGGTCTTAGGGATCCCAGGGAATTTAAGGAATTTCTAACACCCTCTGAAGCAATAAACCTAGAATGATAAGTAATTTAAAGCAGGAGATAAAGACAATTTTCTCAAATTCCACTGATGAGCCTGTAATGGTACTATACAAATAAGCTTTTATCTACACATTTTTTATTTCTGATTTAAAACTACATTTTTGGTGTTGTATGGGTGCACAATGAATGTACACACACACACACACTCACACACACACACTCTCACACACTCTCTCTCTCTCTCTCACACACACACACTCACACACACACACTCACACACACACACACTCACA